CCCTTTCCTCTCTGAAATCAATAAAAAAATAAAAAAATAAAAACCTTGACCCAAACCTCACACCTTATTAATTTTTTTCAAATGAATCAAAGACTTAAACGTAAAACTTCTAGAGGCTAACGTAAGAGAAAATCTTTGGGATCTAGGGCTTAGTGAAGAGTTCTTAAAATGGCCGAAACCAGTTTGGCTCAATGGATAGAGCGTCGGCCTGTGAACTCCAGGGTCCCGGGTTCGATTCTGGCCAAGAGCATGTATCTGAGTTGTGGGCACGTCCCCAGTAGGGGGTGTGCATGAGGCAGCTGATCAATGTTACTCTCTCATCGATGTCTCTGGCTTTCTATCTCTCTCCCTTCCTCTCTGTAAAAAATCAATAAAATATATTCTTTTAAAAAAGTTCTTAAAATGATACCAAAAGCATGCCCCATAGAAGGAAAACACAATAAACTGAGTTTTTGATATGTTGGCAAAATATGAAAAAGAAAGGAACACTTGTATATTGCTGACAGAAATGTAAAAATTTTCAGCTGGTATGGAAAACCTCACTAAGTTAGTATAGAATTACCATATCACCTAGCAAATCCATCCCGGGTATGTACTCAAAAGAAATGAAAATAGATATTCAAGCAAAAACTTTTATACAAAGGTTCATCACAGTATTGTTCACAATAGCAAAAAGGTGCAGGGGGGTGGGGGAGAAACCCAATTTTTATAAGCTGATGAATGAGTAAACAAAAATGATATAGCTATACAATGACATATTATTCAACCAATAAAGATAATTAAGTACTGATACATGCTACAACATAGATGAACCTTGAAAACATTAAGTGTAAGAAGCCAGACACAAAAGTCCACAGATTGTATGATTCCCTTTATATGAAATATGCAAAAATATGGAAGTCTATAGAAACAGAGAGCATGGTTTCCAGGGATTGAGAGGAGGAGGGAATAGAGAGCAACTTTTTAATGGATATGGGGTTTCCTTTCGGGGTGATCAAAATGTTCTAGAACTGGATGGTAGTAATGGTTGCTACTCTCATTTTGAATGTACTAATATCACTAATGGTAAAACTTACCTATCTATAGTTTACCACAATAAAAATGGTGAATTCTATTGTATATAAATTATACCTCAATAAAACATATATTAATCGTGACATTAACGGATGCTAAAACTTGTAGGTAAGATTTTGATGAAGATTGGGATACTTACATAGACTCAAACAATCTCCCCACAAATGTACTTATTTATTTACAAAAAGAAAAAAATACACTGCAGGGGTGGGATGAGGGCATGCGACAGAGGGTAGGGGAGGCTGGGGGAAGGTCAATGGGGGAGAGAAAGGAGATCTCTCTACTACTATATATATTACTTTAAACAATTAAAAAATAAAAAGGAAAAAGAAAAAAATAGCATTACAGTGGAAAAACCTAGAAACCTTACCTGGGATAGTTTATTTCACGTACGGTATCAACTTGAAGTATGCTCTGGGATGAGATTAACATTTAAATTGGTGAACTGTGACTAAGCATATTGCTCTTCATACTGTGGGTGGACCTCATCCAATCAGTTGAAGGCCTGAGTAGAATAAGAAGACCAACCTCTCCAACAGAGGGGAGTCACCAGCCGACTTCCTTCAATGTCTCTTGCATCATTAGCTCTCCTGGGTCTCCAACCTGCTACCCACACTGCAAACTTGAACTTGCCAGCCTCCTTAACTGGATGAGCCAATTCCTTATAATAAATAAGTAAATGAAAACATAAATAAGAACATAAACACACACATAGCTAAAGATACAGCTCCTATTGCTTTTGCTTCCACTTGGAGAACCCTAATATACCACTTGAATCCAATGGTCAAAGTTAACATCACCAGTCATAGTAACTGACAAGCACATCCTAATGTAATATAGTGAGATGGCTACATTATTTATGTGGTAAACCTGCCAAAAATTAATATCCTGAATCCAATCAAGAGCAAACAACAGATAAACCCAAACGGAGGCCGAAGCCGGTTTGGCTCAGTGGTTAGAGGGTTGGCCTGCAGACTCAAGGGTCCCAGGTTTGATTCCCGTCAAGGGCATGTACCTTGGTTGCGGGCACATCCCCGATGGGGGGTGTGCAGGAGGCAGCTGATCAATGACTCTCTATCATCGATGTTTCTAACTCTCTATCCCTCCTCCTTCCTCTCTGTAAAAAATCAATAAAATATATTTAAAAAAAAACACCAAATGGAGACATTCTACAAAATAACTGGCCAGAATTCTTCACAAATGCCAGTATTGTGAAAGACAAAAAGGAATGAGGATTGACTTCTGATCAAAGTGTGAGCCATTTTCTCATCAAAGTACAAGCCTTTCCATACAGAGACTATGTTTTTTTTAGCTCTGTACTGCCTACCCCCTTCCTTCTGCCTGGCACACAGCAGGCCACCCAAGCTCCATGCCATTCCTTAGCCCTGCCTAGGATCCCCCTCCTGCTTCTGCGCTGTCCCTTCCTGTCCTCAGTGGCCTGCCATGCTGCAGCCCTACCGCCAGAGTGCTCCCAGCTGGGCCTCAGAGACCCATTTGCTGTCCCCACCAAGCCCCTCTTCTCCCTGGCGTCACACCGCCTGCCCTGCCCCGCCCCGCCCCATCCTGCAGGATGCTTCATGCCTCTTGCAGAGCTGGAGCTGCTGACCTGTCTCTTCCTCCGTTGGCCTGGGCTGAGACAGCCTTCTCAGCAGGATCTCAGGGCCGGTCCAGCTTCCCAGCAAAGCTTGGCTACTACAAGCGTGTTATCTTAGTCTCTGACAGGAATGCCATCTTCCTGGAACACTGTCCTACATCCAAACTCTTCTCAGGACCAAAGAGGACCTCTGGCCATTTCTGTGTGTTTGCGGCCCCTTAATGACTGCTCCCTGCCGCTTCAGCTTTGGCCCGAGGGCCACATGTAACTTATGGTTCATTTGCAGAAGGGGCAAAGCACAAAACCCCCTTGAGCTCCTGGAGGACTTCCCTGGACTGGGGCTGCCTGGAGACCTGGAGCCCCTGGATGGCCCACCTGCCCACACACCAACCACGGCTTCTCCCTAAACGCGTAAGAGGGGAGCTCACTCAGCACGAGGCTGAAAGCAGGTTCAGCAAAGAAGGGAGGACAGGTGTCAATGGAAACATGGTTCAGACGGTGTGGAAAGAACGCGGGTGGAACACAGCTGGAGCTCGCTGTGGGCTGGGTCATCGTGATGGTGGCCATGTTTTCCGTGTCATCCTGGTGCATTTCCGCCCGTGGAGTTCCCCGGGGAGAGGCCCAGCGAAGGCCACCATGCTCAGTGGAAAGGGTGTGGCTGAGGGCTCAGGTGCTCCAGGAGACAGGAGACCCCCCTGGGACAGAATGGGGGGGTGGCGACTGGATAAACTGGGGACGGGGGAAACCTGCCTTGCTTGAAAGCCCACTCCCACCTGCTGCCCCCTACTCTCAGCTCCCCTCAAGGCCTCTTTGCAGCATCTGAGTGTGGCCTCTGCAGGAGAGCGTGCAGGGGTGACCAACACAGTCACTTCCCAGGATGCCCAGACTCTCCGCCAGGGGCTGGGGAGAGCTTCTGCAGCATAGCACTTTCTTTTTTTCTTTTTTTTTTCTTTTTTCTTTTTTTAATATATATATTTTATTGCTTTTGTGCAGAGAGAAAGGGAGAGAGATAGAGAGTTAGAAACATCAATGAGAGAGAGTCATCGATCAGCTGCCTCTTGCACACCCCCCACTGGGGACATGCCCACAACCAAGGTACTTGCCCTTGACCGGAATCGAACCAGGGACCCTTCAGTCCCCAAGCCGACGCTCCATCCATTGAGCCAAACCGGTTTCGGCTGCAGCATAGCACTTTCAAGCCGCAGGACCATTCCGCCAATATCCGGGAACCTGTTCACCAACAGAGATGTTTTCGCCTGTTGCAGTGGTGGGGTGGGGGGTGGGGTCCCGGATGGGGGAGGGGAGGGGTGGTGGTCTGCCACCACTAGAAGGCTCAGCAGGCTGGAAGACCTCGCTTCCCAGGTGGTGGGCAACTGAAGCACAGGGAGTTAAATCGCGTGGGGGTGATCCTGCCCACTCTCCTCCCCACCCCCGGAGAAAGTGGGGAGATGGCTCTGCCCTGGTGGGGAGGCTGTCTGCTTGCTGGTGGGGGGAAGTCGCTGCAGTGCTGAGGACCTCTGCTTGGCGTGAGCGGTCCCTGAAGTGAGCAGACAAGTTGAAGGTACCTGCAGGGCGGGAAGGGGGGGTGTCCCGCAGTGAAGGGGGCGCACTTTGAAAAGGGATGGGGTGGCTTGTTGGGCTTGGGGTCCAGGGACCACCACAGGGAGCCGGGGTTCGCTGCAGTGATGAGGGAGGGGTAGTGCAGAGACGGGAAGCCTAGGTGGGGGGGGGGGGGCGGGGCTGGGGCTGGTCCTGGGATAGCTGCGGTCGCTGCCGTGTTGGGGGGCATCTGCAGGACGCCCCGCTTCCCGGAGGACAGAAAGGGTGGGGCCTCGGAGCCGGTCCCGCTCCGGCGGGGGGCTGTGCGGCGGGAGGACGCGGGCCCTGCAGTGCGGTGCGGGCCTGGCTGGCACCGCACGCGGAGAGGGGGGCGGGGGGCAGGGGTGGAAGGCGGCGAACAGCAGCCCCGCCGCAGCGGCAGGCGGGGCCGGGGCGGGCCGGGGGCGGCCTTTCGGATCGGGGGCGGGACCAGCATCCTCGGGGCCGCCGCCCCGGAGCGGACCGAGAGCGGCGCTGCCGGAGGGAGTCCGGAGCCGGAGCCCCGCGGGTGCCCAGGCGGAGAGCCCCGAGGCGCAGCGGCCCCGCACCCCGGCCCCGCGCAGCCAGGACTCCGCAGAGGACGCGGCGGTGAGGCGGGGCTGCCTTCGGGCGGGGACGATCCCTGGGGCATCCCTGGCAGCTCGGCTCCTGCAGGGAGAGGTGCCCGGACGGACGGACGGACGGACGCCCCCGCCCCTGCACTTCCCCGGCCGCGCCTCCGAGAGACCCCCTCCTCCCGCTTCCCGACCGCGTTCCTCCCACCCCAGGCCCCTGCCCACCCCGCCCGCAGTCTCTCCGCATCCAGGTCAGTGCAGGCGCCGGGAGAGAAGGACCGCAGCCCTGGGCTCCCCTCCCGCCTCGCCCCTCCCCGCGGTCCCCGGCCGGGCTGGGGGCTCCCCGGAGGACGCTGGCCCTTTAAACCCCGCTCCGCACCCAGAGCATCTCCCTCCCCGCCCGCGCTCCTTCCGACAGCTGGCAGCCGCGGGGACCGGGGAGCCCGGGGGCGCAGGTAGGGGCGGGGAGGCTGGGAGCGGGAGGTGAACAGCTGGGACCCCCCCTTCCGCCCCCGGAGGAGCCGCGGCCGGACTGCTCGGCGCCCCGAGCGCCGGTTAATCATTAACCCTCCGCGCCCCGGCCCCGAGCGCCCGGCGGTGCGCCCCGCCCGGCCTCCCAGGTAACGGGCGAGGGCGCGGGGCTGCTCCGCTGCCTCCTCCGCCCTCCGCTCCCCGCCCCGCTCCGCGGCCCCCGAGCCCCCGCGGCCTCGGATGCCCTGCGGGTCCCGCCCTCCCGCCCGGGTGGGGAGGCGGCGGGCTTCCCCCGGCGGCGGTGCCCGCGCCCCCCTCACCCCGCGCCCCCGCCCCGCCCCAGGCGCCATGCCCGGCCTGTACTGCCCCGCCAGCTGGACGCCGCTGCCCCTCACCGACTCCTGGGTCCGGGCCCGCGCCAACGGCCCCTGCCTGAGCCTGCGCGCCCGGCTCACCTACCGCAACCCGCAGCCGCGGCCCGTGGACGGTGAGGCCGGAGGGGCGGCGCGGGGCGGTGGGAGCGGGGGCCGGGCGGGATCCGATGCCTCCTGTGTGCACCCCAATCCCCAGGCGTGTTCGTGTACCCGCTGGCCGAGGCCGAGGTGGTGTCGAGCTTCGAGGCGGAGGCGGCCGGACGGCGCGTCTCCTTCCGTCTGCAGAGCCGGCGCCGCGCGCAGGCCGCCTGCTGCCGCGCTCTAGGCCCCGCGCCCGGGGCCCCCACGCCCCGCCGCTGCGCGCAGGGTGAGCCTGGGGCCCGCCCCGCGCCCGAAGCCGCCCCTCCTCCTGCCCCCACCAGCCACCGATTTTTATTTTTTTGTTTAAATTCATGGATTCATCCCTTTATTCCACAGCTGACACGAGCCAGGTGCTGGGGGGCGTGACCCGGGCCTGACCCAGGGTTCTCAGCCAAGGAGACAGGCACAGCGGGCATCACTCCCGAGCCATAGCTCCCGAGCCGGGACAGGGTCTGGGTCATTCCCACGTCCCTGCATCTTGTGCCACAAAGGGGTTCAGAGAGTGCGGGGTGGGGTGGAAGTCCGCTCCGGGTTAGGTTCCATGGCTCACACTCCATTCTTTACTTTGCGTGCATTCGTTTGGTTTCTGCACATGGGATGTACCGTCCGTCCGAGTGAAAAGAGGGACGGAATCCAGTGGTGCTGAGCGTTGGCATATGCCCAGCAGGTAGTTAGAAGCCAGAGTGAGGGATGTTCCAGAAGGAAGGGGAGCCAGCATTTGACAGAAAGGAAGGGGGAGGCGGTGACGTGGAGGAGAGAAGGGAAGGCACCCCAGGCCAGCGCAATGGTGTGAGCGAAGGTTTGGAATTGAGTTGTCCTGGGTGATGGCAATGAAATACCCGGTGTTTATAGAGATTTACACTTCACAAAGCCCACTCACTGGAATCGCTTTGTTTGAGTCCTGAGAGGTGGGAATGCGATTGCTGTTCTCCTTCTCCCTTGTATAGGTCATGAAAAATAGCAGCAGTGGCCTCTTACATATTAGATGCTTTGCACATAGTATGTCATTTATTCCTTACAACAATCTCTGAGACACAGTTACTATGCCCCCTCCATCCCCCCCCCCTCCCCAGGGCGGGAACTGAGGCTCCTCAAAACGAGTTACCAAAGGACCGACTTAGAAGCCACAGAGCTAGGACCTACACTCTGCTCTCACCATACCACATGGCAGCAGGCTCTCTTCCTTCTTTACCGCCCAGCTCCCCCTCCTTTTATTCAGCAAGTATTCCTGAAAGAAATGGATAAGTGGTGATGGTGGGCCAGTGAGGTGCAGTAGGGCTGTAAGCGTAGTCTGGGGCCAGACCACGGAAGGCCTGCCTATCACGGTTCACATCTGGCCGCCCCCCCCCCCCCCCCCGCCCCCCCGGTTTGTCAAATAAAACTATGATCTGAGCAAATGGTGTGCTTGGTATGCAAATACAGCTCAATGTCCTCTAGCCCGCTTCCGAGCAGATCACTGCTCCTAAACTCCTCTTGGGTAGAAAGTGCTGGAGCCACTCCTAGCGGGCAAGGGATTTGTGGGTCCCGGGCTACAGGGAATGTCAGTCCACAAAGGTGGTCCTCTAGGAAGGGTTGGATAGAGAGGGGCAGAGGGTATGGGTCCCCCAGAATCTTGGCCTGGTGTGAATATGCCCTGTTCTCCTCAGCTTCCGTTAGCAGTGTTGTCACTGCCCCCTTTCCTGATGACAGCCAGATCCTTTTACCACCCATCTACCTCTCTGTCTACCGCCATTCATCCCATGCCTCCATCCTGTACCACCCAGGCACTGGCCCAGTGGTCGGCAAACTCATTAGTCTACAGAGCCAAATAGCAACAGTACAACGATTGGAATTTCTTTTGAGAGTCAAATTTTTAAAACGTAAACTTCTTCTAACGCCACTTCTTCAACACAGACTCGCCCAGGCCGTGGTATTTTGTGGAAGAGCCACACTCAAGGGGCCAAGGAGCCACATGTGGCTCGCGAGCCGCAGTTTGCCGACCATGGCTGTAGCCCATTGTCTCTCCGGCACCCCTTGCCCAGGCTCCCCTGACTCAGTGCCTGCACCCACCCGTCTTCCCTCATCCCCTTCTGCTCCCAGCCCCCTCTGACCCCTTTTCTCACTCATCATAGGTCATCTTGTCTTGGATCTGGCCCAGGCCCGGTCCACACTGGTGCTGCCCACCGGCCTCATCACCTCGGCCGGCACCATGACAGTGACCCTGTGCAGCAGCCGGGAACTGCCCTCAAGGCCTGATGGGGTGCTGCATGTGGCTCTGCCCTCCGTGCTCACCCCACTGGCCCCGCCAGGCCCGCCGGGCCCCCCCAGAACCCCGGGGCTCTGTGACGACAGGTTGGGCCTATGGTGATTCTCTTCGTCCCTCCCTCGGCTTCTCTGGGTCTAGTGCGGGTGAGGGGGCTCTGGCAGGGTGCCCTGGGCAATGGGCAGGGCGGAGACGGGCTGGGGCCAGTCAGCCAGAGGGGCTAGGGGCCTTGGGAGTGGCCAAGTGACCCTCCTCGTGCTCCCTTCCAGCCCGACCAGCTGCTTCGGGGTGGGCAGCCCTCAGGAGGAAGGTCAGGCCTGGGAGGAGCCCGCTGCCCCTCCGGACGTGTTCTTAGGCCCTGCCCGCTGCCCCGCCCCGTACACCTTCTCCTTCGAGATGCTGGTGACTGGGCCGTGCCTGCTGGCAGGTGGGTGCCCCTCTCAGCACAGCTGACTGGGACATAATTCAAGGCTCAGGGATGGGAGGAACACAGAACAACAACAACAAAAAAGAAGACAGGGACCTAAGCCTTGGGGACCCCCAGTCTCACAGTGGGAGCATCCTCTGGACCCCTCAGTTTGTCAGTGTCATTTATTTACATACCGCCCCACTCACCCATGGGAAGAGAGAGGCTTATGGTGAGACCAGGACAAGAAGTAGGGGAGGGTGCTAAATCAACACTTGGGTTGACCAGCCAGGAACAGAGCTGGGACTCTGCCTCCTAAACCACAAAACCATGCAACCCTCCCCCCCTTGTCCATTGGAGCCTGTGACAGGTTCTGAGAGCTGAGCTGAATCAGTCGTGATCCCTCGGGGCCCATGGTCTGGGAAGGGGGTGTTTATGCTCTTTGCGATGACTTAGGGTGGGGCGAGCACCACACCTCCCTGCCCCTTTGCCCCTCAGGCACATGTGTCAAACACAAGGCCCGCGGGCCAAATCCGTCCCGCCAGGCCTTGCAATGTGGCCCGCACTGCGCTGTCATCACTGCACTCCGCTGCGTTTCCATCACAATGACAGTTTATGACTGTTCAGTAAACCATTCGGCCCGCGATTTAGGCTGCATTTTAGATTTTGGCCCCTTCTCTGATTGAGTTCGACACCCCTACAGGCCTCGAGAGCCCCTCTCATACTCTGCGGGCAGATGCCCCACCCCACGCCAGCTCAGCCGCCACCATCTGTGTCACCCTGGCAGAAGGCCACCGCTGTGACCGGGCTGTGGAGATCCTGCTGCACCCCAGCGGTGAGCGAACGGGCGCACGGCGGGCCGGCTCTGACCAGCCTCGGGGCCACCTCAGTGGCATTTTTTTCTTCTTTTTTTCTATCACTAGCATTTCTCAAGCATAGATTTCTGGTCTCCTCGTCAGACGGACCAAGTCATCTGTAAGGGTGGGCCTGGTGCCGTGGTCGGCAAACTGCGGCTCCTGAGCCACATGCGGCTCCTTGGCCCCTTGCACATGGCTCTTCCACAAAACACCACGGCCTGGGCGAGTCTATTTTGAAGAAGTGGCGTTAGAAGAAGGTTCAGGTTAAAAAATTCGGCTCTCAAATGAAATTCTAACTGTGGTACTGTTGATAGTTGGCTCTGTTGACCAATGAGTTTGCCGACCGCTGGCCTGGTGGTGTAGGGAGGCTGCACAGCAGGACGGGGCAGTTAGGGTCCAGAAACAGGGACTTCCCTGACAGCTGTGTGCCCTCCCCCCAGAGCCCCACCAGCCGCACCTGATGCTGGAGGCCGGCAGCCTGAGCTCAGCAGAATATGAAGCCCGAGTGAGGGCCCGCCGGGATTTCCAGAGGCTGCAGCGGAGACACAGTGACGGGGACCGGCAGGTACAGTGGCCAGGGGGCCCGACTTGGCCCCTGGCCTGGCGGCTAGGTGCATTTGTGCAGGAGGATCAGGCGAGCAGACTCATGTCGGGATGAGTAGGGGGCTCTGCTCACAGTAAGAACGCTCGGCACCGCCACCACCATCCCAAGGAGCTGAGTCTCCCGAAGGCCCATTCAGGCCCCCTGGGCTGTGTCTCAGAGAGCGGGGGCTCCGCCTGCCATGGCAGAGGACAGCCACCTGCCTCTGCCCGGGCCTTGACTCCCATGACCACAAACAGGTGACTGATGGGGCGGATGAGATAGAAAAAGACCCCGGGGCTGAGTCCCGCTGCCAGCCCAGGCGGGAGCTGCGCTCAGCCTGGCCCAGGGTGACTCTGGGCTCCGTGTTCAGGTGTGGTTCCTGCAGCGACGCTTCCACAAGGACATCCTGCTGAACCCCGTGCTGATGCTGAGCTTCTGCCCAGACCTGAGCTCCCAGCCTGGACACCTGGGCACAGCTACGCGGGAGCTCCTCTTCCTGCTGGACGGCAGCGCCGCAGCACACAAGGCCTGTGGGGGCGTCTGGGGGCACGGAGGGCAGGCCTGGGGGCGGTCTGGGGCACGGAGGGCAGGCCTGGGGGCGGTCTGGGGCACGGAGGGCAGGCCTGGGGGCGGTCTGGGGGCATGGAGGGCAGGCCTGGGGGGCAGTCTGGGGGCACGGAGGGCAGGCCTGGGGGGCGGTCTGGGGCACGGAGGGCAGGCCTGGGGGCAGTCTGGGGCACGGAGGGCAGGCCTGGGGGCGGTCTGGGGCACGGAGGGCAGGCCTGGGGGCGGTCTGGGGCACGGCGGGGCAGGCCTGGGGGCGGTCTGGGGGCACAGAGGGCAGGCCTGGGGGTGGTCTGGGGGCACGGAGGGCATGCCTGGGGGGGGTCTGAGGTGGGCTGCAGCGCGCGCGTGCGCGCGCGCGCGCTTGCACACACACACACACACACACACACACACACACACACAAGTCCTCTTTCTCATACACAGATGCATCTCTCCCAGATTCCAAGGGCCTGTCTCATACATAATAGATTGTCACCTAATGTCAAAGCCAGGAGTCATATACACCTTCAGCGTCACACACACAAATGTCTCCCTAACACTCTCCGTTCTCACACACACAGGGCCTCTCCCAGATCCTCATCCAGGCCCATTGTACACACAGCCTGCAGAGGCGGGCCATCTGTGTCCCTTTCTCTCCACCCGCACCCCGGGGCCTGCCTCACCCTGTCCTCTCCGGCCCTCCCCAGGATGCCCTTGTCCTGGCCGTGAAGTCGCTCCCATCCCAGACTCTCATCAACCTGGCCATGTTCGGCGCGGCCGCGCAGCCCCTCTTCCCCGACAGCAGGCTGTGCAGTGACGTAAGTGCAGCCAGGAGTCTGGGGGCCCCGTGGAGACGCTTCCCTCAGCCGGTGCCTTCTCCCCGCAGGACACGGTGAAGGTGATCTGTGAGAGCGTGGAGTCCCTGCAGGCTGCGGGAGGTCCCCCAGATGTGCTGGCCGCGCTGGACTGGGCCATGAGGCAGCCCCAGCACAGGGCCCACCCTCGGCAGCTGTTCCTGCTCACGGCCGCCTCGCCCACGGCCACCACGACCCAGCAAGCCCTGGAGCTCATGAGGTGGCACAGGGGGGCAGCCAGGTACGAGGTGGGCAGAGACAGGTGACTGAGGTGGACCCCCTCAAGGCTCTGAAGGTCACAACTGCCTCCCTTCCTTCACCAGGTGCTTCTCCTTTGGGCTGGGGCCTGCCTGCCGCCAGCTGCTCCAGGGCCTGTCTGCCCTCAGCAGGGGCCAGGCCTACTTCCCGAGGCCTGGGGAGAGGCTGCAGCCCATGGTGAGCTTGGGCCTGGGCCCTGTTCCCTACTCCTTAAGTTCTTCTCCCAAGTTGCACTGAGTCCGAGGCAGAACCCGGTTCTGTTGTGGGGTCTCCTGGCTTCTTCCCGACTCCAATCCCGACTCTCCCTGGAGGTGCCTATCAGGGGAGGAGCCACAGGGGTTGCTGTGGGATGCTTCAGGGGCTGAAGGTGAGGGGAGCATGGCTTCTGACCACCCCCCAAATATTATTCTCAGTTGTGTCCTGGTACTGAGTCATATCCTTGATAAGCCTTTTCTCATTCACATGGTAGAGCTCAGGCCAAGAGAGAGACCCAGCCCTGAGGCCTGAGCTCTCATTCCCCTTGCTTGTTCCTACCCCCATTCCTTCCCCTCACCCCAGCCTGACCCAGCTCCCCTCAGCCAGAGACTAGGCAGGTGGGAAGGGCAGCCTATCTGCTCTGTCCGCTGAGTGGCACCTCTCTCCCCCCCATGGCCGCTCCCCACAGCTGGTGCGGGCTCTGCGCAAGGCACTGGAGCCTGCTCTGAGCGACATCTCTGTGGACTGGTTTGTGCCAGACTCGGTGGAGGCACTGCTGACCCCCCGGGAGATCCCAGCACTCTACCCTGGGGACCAGCTGCTCGGTTACTGCTCGCTCTTCAGGGTGGATGGCTTCCGGCCTCACCTGCCTGGGGTAGGCCTGGGCTGGGGGGCGGGCAGTGGGCCTGGGATGGCTGAAGCCCTTGCATCTCCTCCAAATCCTTCTTCCATTTCCTGTGCCTCTCTGCCAGACTCTCCTCCTACCTCCAGGCCTTCTCAGAGACTGCACGGGGCCCTCCAAGGGGACTGCAACCTGCCTCTGCTTTAGGTCTTCCACTGAGTTGTCCTTAAAGTGGTGCCCTGGCTTTTACCACGGGTCACTAAGCCACACAGACAGAGAACAGCTCCAGCATTTGCTATGAGATCTTGGTCACAATTTGCTCACTACTTCCCTCAGTGCCCTACAGAAGGTACCCTCCGATTATTCCCTGTAACACTCAGGGACAGGCGCAGCACAGTCAGGCGTCCTCAAACTTTTTAAAGTGGGGGCCAGATCACGGACCCTCAGAGAGCTGGAGGGCCGGACTATATGAACTACTAATTCCTACTGTAACACCTCGGCTGCGCTCACTGCCCAAAAAACCTGGCGGGCCGGATCAGACTCCTCTGCGGGCCGCATGTGGCCCGAGGGCCGTAGTTTGAAGACGCCTGATGAAATCTCAGGTACTAGCCATTTGATTTTGGGCAAGTGATTTAACCTCTCTGAACACCATTTCTTCAAAGGCATTTTTTTTCATAAGGTTGTTGTAATTCGAGGTCATAATATACACACTCTTGGTAGAATACTTGACACGTAGTAGGAGTCAGAGATATGATAGTTATTTTTATTATGGAAAGCTTTCTCCCTTTGGAAGAACTAAGCGTGCATCTCTCTTTTTGGTAACGGCCTGTTTGCCCTTTTGCCTGGTTGCCAGGAAGCTCAGGGCCAGACCTGGAGCCCAGCCACAGAAGCTCTATTAACCCTATGGTTAGCACGGATGGTTCCTCCTTCCCTAGTACTGGGCTTTCCCTTCTGGCTTATTAACTTTATTGCCTCTTGCAGTTAGCCATCTTTTAAATCTGTTTGGAAAGAGGTTGCATAGAACGACAATCTGTTTTCCCCCCAATGAATCTTCCTCCCTAGGGCCAAGAGTCTGGCTGGCAGAGCTTGGGTGGCTCCATGTTCCCATCGCCAGAGGAGGTGCCTTCTGCCACCAGCGCTGGCACTGAGCCCACTGGCACCTCGGAGCCGCTGGGAACAGGCACTGTGCCAGGAGAGCTGTCCATCCTCTGGGCTGCCGGGGACTCGGAGCAGAGTGAGTGCTGGGTGCCGGTGTATGGCTGTGCTGGAAGTATGAGCAGGAGGAGGGGCCAGGGCGAGCTTCCTTCTTCTGCCTCCATTAGGTACCGACGCTCTGACGGACCCAGTCACGGACCCTGGACCGAACCCCTCCTCTGACACAGCCATATGGCGTCGCATCTTCCAGTCCTCATACATCAGGGAGCAGTATGTGCTCACCCACTGCTCTGCCAGCCCTGAGCCAGGCCCAGGCTCCGCAGGCAGCAGTGAGTCCCCTGGCTCCCAGGGCCCTGGCTCCCCCGAGGGCAGTGTTCCCCTGGACCCCCCCTCTCAGCAGGGCTGCCGCAGCCTGGCCTGGGGAGAACCTGCAGGCTCCCGCTCCTGCCCCCTGCCTCCACCCCCACTGGCACCAGTCAAGGTGAGACTCAATCCACATCCATTTACCGTTATGTCCAGCCACACTTCTTGGCCATCTGCTGTATGCTTACATGGTACAGTGGTTACGTTAAGTCTAGCTGAAGAGCTGGGTGGGTAAATCTAGAATGATGCCATGCAACATACGGGGATGAGCTCAGGGACATGGTGCTGTGGGGACTTAGAGTTTTAAGGTGACTAACCCTGTCTCAGGGAGCCGGGAAAGCAAGAGCCACATCTGGAAAAATACGTAGAAGTGAGCCGGGCAAAGAGGGACATGGCATGAACAAAAAGACAAGTAACTTGCCGAAACCAGTTTGGCTCAGTGGATGTAGCCTGAAAGGTCTCAGGTTCGATTCCAGTCAAGGGCATGTGCCTTGGTTGCAGGTACATCCCCAGTAGGGGGGTGTGCAGGAGGCAGCTGATCGACGTTTCTCTCTCATCGATGTTTCTAACTCTATCTCTCTCTCTTCCTCTCTGTGAAAAGTCAATAAAATATATTTCAAACAAATAAACAAACAAGACAAGTAACCTCCAGTGAGATATAGGGTGTAGAGTGGCATAATTAGGAGGGGGCCAGAGGCCATGGGAGCCATGCCTTTTTCCTAACCACACTCAGGGTTTCAGTAAAAGGGAAAGCTGTGTGTGTGTGTGTGTGTGTGTGTGTGTGTGTGATGGCCAGGAGCTCTGTGTTCCTTGGCCAATGGACCCCCCTTGTCACCTGCAGACTGGGGCCTTGAGTGCCGAGGTGCTGAACCGTCGACGCAGAGCGGCTCTGGCTGGCCGAAGCCTCTCATCGCCCCCCGGCCAGGTGAACCCAGGCCCTGGCCGCCCCCGGCACCCCTCTCTGGGTGCAGCACCGGAGGGGCCAGGCCCTGAGTTTGGGCAGCAGCTGGGACAAGGCCTGGACGACTCAGGTAAAGGTTGGCTGAGAGTTGAATTCTGACACCATGGAGGCCTCTGGAAGGACGAGCCCAGGGCACCACACCCCCTATCCCTGCCATTGTCTCCTCAGGAAACCTGCTCTCCCCAGCGCCCATGGACTGGGACATGTTGATGGAACCCCCCTTCTTGTTCACGGCTGTGCCCTCTGATGGGGAATCTGCACCCCCAGCAGTGCCACTGCCTCCGCAGGCTCCACGCTGCCACGTGGTGATCCGGGCCCTGCGTGGGGAGCAGCCTGTGTGCTGGGAGGTGGGTGTTGGGCTAGAGACACTCTGGGGGCCTGGGGATGATGGCTCACTGCCTCCGTCACCTCACGAAAGAGAAGGTGCTTGGGACCAAGCACTCCATCGGCTGACAGCAGCGTCTGTGGTTCGGGACAATGAGCAGCTGGCTCTCCGAGGGGCTGAGACCATGGCTGACTGGGGTGAGTTGCTGGTGGGCCCAAGGAGGCTGTATGGGGCAGAGTGGCAGAGGTATGAGTCTGTTTGATCACTCTCTCTTTAGATCACCTTGCACATAAACAAATGTGGCTCATCCACAGTTACAAGGAGAGAAATTAAGCAGGGCAATGGGGGGAAAAAGGATAATAACACAAAGGAAGAGAATGAGGTTTTATTAAATACTAGAGGCCTGGTGCACGAAATTTATGCACTGGGATGGGAGGGTGTCCCTCAGCCCAGCCTGCATTCTCTTGCAGCCCAAAAGCCCTTAGGAGATGTCCCACTGCCACCATCACTGCAATTGCCAGCCATGAGCCTAGCTTCTGGCAGCTTCTGGCTGAACTCACTGACCACCTGGGGGCAGCTCCTGCATTCAGCATCTGCTCCCTGGTCGTCCGTGCACATAATAGTGACCTGTCGTCCCACAATTCAGTTGATTTGCATGTTAGCCTTTTATGCCTGTGGGAGTGGGCTGAAACTAGCTCTCCAACATCCCCCTAGGGATCCCAGATTGCAAGAAGGCGCAGGCCCAGCCAAGGGACCCCACTGGTACACCATCAGGGCCAGGGAGGGACACAGGAGGTTTGATAGCCAGGGAGGGACTGTGGGAGGGCTCCAGGGCATGTCTGGCCTCTCTCTCAGTTCCGACTGGCCAGACCCCAGCAGCAAGCTAATCTATCGGTCAGAGTGTCTGCCCCCCTGGTGGTCAGTGCACATCATAGCTAATGGTTGAGTGGTCTTAGCATATCATTAGCATATTAAGCTTTGATTGGTTAAATGGATGACCAGATGACTGGACACTTAGCATATTAGGCTTTTATTATATAGGATGCACACCATGAGGTTATGTGCCTTTGCAAGTATGTGACCCAAAATTGGCAAGCTTCTTAGCAGCCAATAGAGAGAAATGAGATCTTGTAAGGATTTTTAGCGCCCATATTTATAAAAACAAATGTCACTCAGGAAGACTGTTAAAACCAAGTAAAGCTAACATTTCAGTTCCTCAGTTACACTAGCTATATTTCAAGTGCTTGAATCACACACATATAGGACATTTCCTTCTTCACAGGAAGTTCTATTGGACAGTGTTGAAATGAGTGGGTGGAAAAGGCACTGGTCCACGCTTCCTGAATGGTGTCCAGAATATTGAATTTCTGGGTGGCCAAGAGGCATAGCCCTACTATGGATTAAGGATTCAGCTTAACCACTTTTTTTTTTTTTTTTAATATATTTTTATTTTTTACAGAGAGGACGGGAGAGAGATAGAGAGCTAGAAACGTTGATGAGAGAGAAACATCGACCAGCTGCCTCTTGCACACACCCTACCGGGGGATGTGCCCATAACCAAGGTACATGCCCCTGACAGGAATCGAACCTGAGACCTTTCAGTCCGCAGACCAATGCTCTACTACTGGGCCAAACCGGTTTCGGCAGCTTAACCACTTCTTGCTAAAGTTGGCGAGTTAAGCTGGTCCAGATCCTGAGAAACTTTACTCTGTCCAAGAGTGAACAGAGAAGCTATGGGAACACTGAAGTGTTTTTCTTTGAAGCCCTAAGGAGAGGGTGGGCGGTGGGAGTGCACCCCGTCCTGGACAGCAAACTGCTCCTTGGTTTCACAGGCCATGCCCGGAGGTCCTGGCTCCGAGCCCTTCAGACAAGCAAGGTCAGCTCCGCCCCCTCCTGCTTCACCTGCCCCGTAGCTGTGGACGCTGCCAGTAGGGAAGTCCTGCCCTTAGCCCTGCAGGTGCGGAGCTCAGGTAGAGTCCCTCCCAAGTGTCCTCTCAGGTGCTGGCCCTCACCTCTCTGGCCACACGCCCGGACAAACCACTGCCTTGTCTTCTGTGCCCCTGCAGAGCCAGTGGAGCCCCCAGGCACCCCTCCTGCCTCGCAGGGCCATCTAGATGCAGCTCCGCCCACAGCTGTCCAGTGTAAAGGTAACACTCAGCTCTGGGCCAATGGCAGGGAGCACCGAGCTGAGGGATCACCGCTGGCGCTGACTGGTTCCATCGCAGGCCTTCAGGGACTCTCTCCGGCACGTGGCTCAGACCCAGACCAAAACGACAGCTCCAAGTCTGCTTGGGAGGATTCTGCAGCCCCTCCCCGAGGCCCTCCCACCGTGCCCCCTCGGCCTCCTTTAAAGCTCAGCCTGGGCCATCGGAAGCCCAGAGGCCCAGACAGCCACAGACTCTGCAGCCCCAACACAGGCCAGGCCAGCGACGGCAACAGCGAAGGCAGCAGCCATGACTACTTGCCCTTGGTGAGGACTCGGGAGGTGGAGGGTGGTGTTGCAGGGCCAGGGCGCTGTCTCAGCTCACTTCTCCCCCCACCTCCTCTCTCCTCAGGTGCGACTGCAGGAGGCACCGGGCTCCTTCCGCTTGGACGCGCACTTCTGCACCGCGGTGCGCATCCCGCAGGAGCGCCTGTGCCGTGCCTCGCCCTTCGCCGTGCACCGCGCCAGCCTCAGCCCCACCTCGGCTTCGTCTCCCTGGGCACTTCTGGGCCCCGGGGTCAGCCAGGGAGACAGTGCCACGGCCTCCTGCAGCCCGACCCCCAGCTCAGGCTCCGAGGGTCCCGGCCAGGTGGACAGTGGGCAGGGTTCAGACACCGAGGCCTCAGAGGGGGCAGAGGGGCCGAGTGGAACCGACCTGCGGGGCCGGACCTGGGCCACCGCAGTGGCACTTGCGTGGCTGGAGCACCGCTGTGCGGCCGCCTTCGGCGAGTGGGAGCTGGCAGCGGCCAAGGCGGACTGTTGGCTGCGGGCACAGCACCTGCCCGATGGCCTTGACTTGGCCGCGCTCAAGGCCGCAGCCCGGGGTCTTTTCCTGCTGCTGCGTCACTGGGACCAGAACCTGCAGCTACACCTGCTGTGTTACAGCCCGGCCAACATGTGAAGGCTGCCCACTGCTGGGCTGGCAGCCCCCAACAGTCAAGTCACTGCCACCCAGGCCGGCTTCTCGGTGCCAGGAAGGGGTAGGACGGTGACAGCCTGCCCCCACTGCTTCTCATCCCCTTCCAGAATCCTCTTTCCCACAGAAAGTGCCTGCCTGTGCTCTCTCCCGCTCCTTTCACCCCAGCTCCTTTCCCTCTGAGCTCTGTACAGTTCGGTAAAAGAGGAGAGAGCCACAGCCCCCAAATCCTATGCAATAAAGTGCCTCTTGCCCTGACTGGTTTGGCTCAGTGGATAGAGCATTGGCCTGCGGACTGAAGTGTTCCAGGTTCGATTATAATCAGGGGCATGTGCCTTGGTTGCGGGTACATCCCCAGTAGGAGGTGTGCAGGAGGCAGCTGATCGATGTTTCTCTCTCATCGATGTTTCTAGCTCTCTGTCCCTCTCCCTTCCTCTCTGTAAAAAAAAAAAAGAAAAGAAAAAAAAAGTGCCTCTTAAAACTGCCTGAATGAGTTATCTGCCTCATGCATACCCCTCACAGGTTAGTCTAGGCACCTCCATGTAGGCTGCACAGAAGTGGACTTGGTAAGGTTTATTGAGAGGGGCAGAGTCCATCCACGTCCAGGGCCCTGAGAAGGGGGCAGAGGTGATCTCAGTGGGCTTTCTTGCTGTGCTGGGCGCTCCTGGGGAAAGGCTGGGGGCCCAGCCAGAGCTGCAGCAGGATGACAGCATGGCACGCGTGCAGGGCAGCGGAGCTGCAGGACGTGGACGGGTATGTATTCCAGGAGAGCTCGATGAGCCCAAGCACCAGCAACCTGGAGATGAGAAATACGCTCCAGAGTTTGTCCAGTTTCTAGGCCCCTCCACGGTCCCTAACCCTAACCCATACCCCTCCCTCAGGCTGTCCCAGCCAGTACCTGAGCAGGTGTGTGAGCCAGCGTGCAGGCGTGGCCCACAGGAGGTAGGGCAGTGTGTGGAAGTACCAGACGTAGAACTGGTAGTGGAGAGAACGGCTGAAGCAGATGCCAATGAAGTTGGAGGTGAAGAGGGTAGACACTATCTGTATGCAGTGGTCAAGGCCAAGGGCAGGAGCAGAAGGGCCAGGGGCTGGGGCTGGGGCTGGGGCCGGGCAGGGAGGTTCCAAAGCAGAGGGGTAACAATATTTGGATCAGATAGCCCCCTGGCTCTACCATTCCCAGATGCATATCTTTGAAAACCTTTTTTAAAAAAATATATATTTTATTGATTTTTCACAGAGAGGAAGGGAGAGAGATAGAGAGCCAGAAATGTCGATGAGAGAGAAACGTCGACCAGCTGCCTCCTGCACACCCCCCACCGGGGATGTGCTCGCAACCAATGTACATGCCCTTGACTGGAATCGAACCCGGGACCTTTCAGTCCACAGACCGACGCTCTACCACTGAGCCAAATCGGCTTTGGCTGAAAACGTTTCTTAACCTCTCTGGAATGCTCCTCAATCTGAGGTGGAGACAGGGATACCTAGGGCCATAAAGCCTGGTGAGTCCATCACTTCCTAGCTGGGTGATATCGGTGAATTATTTAACCACTTAAAGCCCTAATGTTGCCAGCTATAAATGAGGATAATAAAAATACTTCCTATATCAGGGTCTCCTGTAAGCTTTAAATGTTAGCACAGCACCAGGCAGTGGATGAACGCTCATAACAATGATATTTGAAGTTATGAATAAATATGCTCATATATGTAAATGTTCAGCACAGTGTTTGGTGCGAAGCAGGAGTTCTAAGAACGGGCCCTATAGCTATTACTGGTGCCTCTTTTACCCCCCTCCCCCCAGGTCACCAGCCATCCAGAGCCACCTGACCAGGACCCTGTCTGCACCTGGAGAGGGCAAGACTTACCTTCTCATGACTTAAAGGATATGATTGGGTGTGAGGGGTTGAGGTGGAACCTTCCTTTTGGAGGGATCCTTCAGCAGCGACAGAATACTTTCCCCTGTCCTGGGAAAAGCCATTTAGACATTCATCAAGCTCTCATCCTGGGCCAACCTCTAAAATTCACCTCCATGAGCTCAACATCTCCCCTAAGCAGCCCCTAAGGCCCAGGCCCTTCACTCCTTCCCCTGCATCTGCCCTGGGCACTGCTCCCCGTTCTCACCTGTGCCACCTGCAGAGAACAAAGAGCAGGAGCAGGGCGAGGTGGGTGGCCAGCAGCGCCAGGTGGAAGGCACGATGCAGGAAGAGGCTCTCGGGGAGGAAGCGCCAGTTCACTGTCCAGCGGAAGAGAAACTGGCGGCCAAGGTCAAAGGAGCGGGACAGGTACCCGACGGGGTTCTCCAGCAGGAAGGGCAGCCCCAGCACCACCTGAGATGGATGCAATGTCAGCAGAGCTGCCCAGGCCCACCCCAGCCTCATACCAGTCAGGAGAGTGGGAATCGGTGTGGGTCTCAGAGGTTCCTTAATTCCCGAGGACTCCTGCCCGCCCCCCGCTTCCTCCTCCAGCCCCCCCTTCCTCCTCTAGCCCCCCCCCCCCACCGTCAGAGCCTGGGGCCAAAAAGGAAGCTGAGGAGGCAGGTAATGACAGTGCTTTAATGGGCAGAGCTAGAAAGGCCCTAAGAGACCATCTAGATCAACATCCTTATATTACAGCAACAAACAAACAAAACAGCTCAGAGAGAGAGTGGCTACCCAGTCCAGAATCAATTCCAAAACCCTTGCCTCTTGGCTGTGAAGAAGTCTCAAGGAGGGAAGGGGGCCATCTTTAAAAAGGAGAGAGGCGGGAGTACCTGTAGGACAGCACAGATGCCCAGCTTGGGGAGGGTCCCACGGAGGCCAAATTGTGTGAGGAGAAGGAACAGTAATCCAGGGGCAAAGAGAAGCACGTTCATCTTCACAGAGACTGCCAGGCTAGGGTGCGGAGAAGAGATAAGGGTGGAAATCAGCTCCAGGGCTATGCACCCCCACCCCCACCATCCAGGCAATTCCTCCGCTCCACCACCAAGCTGCAGGATAGCTCGGTGTGCTGGGCAGCGGAGCTGCAGGACGCGGATGGGTATGTGTTCCAGGAGAGCTCCATGAGCCCAGCACCAGCAACCTGGAGACAGGGCCCACACTCAGAGCTGCGGGAGGGAGGGGAAGGTAGCCTGGGAGGAAGCTGGGGATCCGGAATAGATACCTAGTCTCTATGCCCAGACTGAGCAAACAAATATATACTGAATATTAGGAATATGAATGACCGACTCCAATACAACTGTGAATTGTGGGGTGGAGTGGAGCCTTTCTACAGATCCTGGACTCACCTAGTGGGACCTAACTGACCCACATTGTCTGGCCACGCCCTTGCTGCAGAAATGTAGGGGAAAAGTGATGGAAATACAAAAAGTAAGAAAGGGGACTAGAAGGGAGGGATGCTGACCTGAAACAGCAGCAACCCCAGCCCCAGCGCCGGGCCAGGAACAGGTTGATACTGAGGAAAAGCAGCGCCATGGCCACCGGGTCATTGAAGAGCCGCAACACGAAGATGGAGTGGACACGGTAAGAGGCACAGCACATGAAGAAAAAGACGAAGGGAGGCACCTAAGAGGTGGGCACAGAGGGGAAGAAGGTCAGCTCACCAACCCTGAGCCATCACCATACCTCGGCCCTCCCAGGGTGGAGACCCAGGTCCTGGTATTGTGGACTCACCTTGCAGGTCTGGTGGTAGATCAAAAAGACAAGCAGCAAGGTGGCCAGGTAGAGCACGGCAAAGATATGCTGGGCCATGCGGATGTCCGTGCCATGGCCGGTGACATAGTACAGCCCCATAAAGATGTACACGAAGCCGGCTGGGTATCTGAAAGAGGAGGGGGAACGTGAATCTGGGACCAGATACCCCGCCTTATCTCCAGTCAGCCCCTCACATCCTTGCTGAACCTACTCTCCCCACTCACACAAGAGGTCCAGTGTCACCCTGCAGTTGGGTGTAGTCATAGGTGCCGTTGATGACGCCCTCCACCTCAGCCATGTAGGCCTTCCAGTCAATCTCTGTATCTGGAAAAGGAAAGGACGGTGTGGTTACTTCTGAGTCCAAAACTTGTCTGCCCCCAACCCATCCAACCCATCCAAGCACCGAGTTCCAGGTCACCCTCAGGGCTTCTATCACAACCACTTACCTAACTGCCTACATGACATTCTTTGGGTGAACCCAGGCATTTCAAACTGTTTCTAATTGAATTCATAACCTATTCTAAATCTGCTCCCCTTCCTGAGTTCCACTGAATGGCACCATCAACCTCTCTGTTGCCCAAGTCACAAAACTGAAACTTCCTTCTCTCTCATTTCCAACCCCCATTACTATGTCCTGTCTACACATCTCTACTGTCTCATCCTTCTCAACTATTATATAGCAAATTTGGTCCTAACATAATCTCTAGCCTCAATGATGTAACAGTGTCCTTATTAGGCTCCCAGATGTCACGTTCACCTCACCACAATATATTTGCCATCCTGCAATCAGCTCTTCCTATTGTAGAAACCTATCATGTCTCTCTGCTTGAAATCCTTCAACGATTCCCTAAGGCTGTTAAGATAAAGACCAAACTCTGTTACTGTCAGTTTAGAAGAGGAACCTATGAATTATTGAGGGTAAGTGACTAGCTCAAGATCAGCAAGCTAGGAAGAGCAGAACTGAAACTGGAATTCATAGGATCCTAGATTCTTAACCACTAACTTTACTGCTATCTCCTTAACACAGCTTACGGACTCCTTTATAATCTAGTCTCAACTTCTGCAAACTCATTTTAGTACTGGCCTCACTTGAATTCTACGTTCCAGCTCTAAAGAGAGTCAGGCCCAGCGGGCGTGGCTCAGTGTAGAGCACTGACTAGGAACCGGGAGGTCTCAGTGATTCCCGGTGGGGGCAATGCCCGGGTTGTGGTCTCGATCCCCAGTGTTGGATGGGCAGGAGGCAGCAGATCAATGATTCTCTCTCATCATTGGTATTTCTATCTCCCTCTCCCTTTATCTTTGACATTAATTAAAAACTATAATAAAAATAAAAAAAATAAATAAACCCCAGAATTGAACAGATGAGACCCAGCTGGGGAAGTGACATGTACAAAGCCACAGAGACAAGCAGCAGCAGCAGCAGCAGGATATTCACACAGACCCAGGTCTTTGACACCAGGCTGGCGGGCTGTACCTTCAGGGCAGAGGACCAATCTCTAGGGTCCCCCCTTTCGTCATGGGGGAGGGATTATCAGATCGGGTTTGGTTTTCGGTGGAGCAGGCTTGGAACTTGGGGTAAAAGATATGGATCTGCAATTGATGACTAAGTGGACCTGGGGTCTGGGTCTGAGCTCCGAATCTGAGTCCCGGTTTGAGTAGGGCGTTCGAGTCCACCTCCCTCCCGCCTTCTCCGCTCCCTTCCACTCCCCTCCCCCTCGGCGCACTCACATGCCACCCTGTGAATGACCCAGAAGGTGATGCCCACCTCCGCCAGGCAGAGGCAGGCAGCTACCAGCAGCGTGTAACGCGGCTCCAGCAGCAGTAGACGCCGCTCTTGCCAGGCGCGCCGCAACCACTGCTCGCAGAGTCCCGCCACCCGGGGTGGGGGTCCCGCCCGGGCGCGTTTCCTTACGCCCGCGGCCATCTTGTCGGCGCACCGTTCATATGGGCCCGCCACCCTGGAAACCGGACCCTTTGGCACTTAGGTTCCGCTCTGGGCGCCGGTGTCCTAACCGAGTTGCCCGGGTCCTTATTTCCTACACTAAAATGTACTCCTTCTACATCGGTCTCTCCTGATGGACTGCACGTTCCCTACGAGCAGGAATGGTCTTACTCTTCCGTATATCCTTAGCCCTGGGTACCCAGGAGCTCAGATGGATGGAACATTTGCCCAGAAAAACATCACTCCTGGCCGGCCCTCCCCCTCCCCCGTCTCCTCCCCCCTCAAGCCATCCCTCCCGGCCCAGTCTAACACTTCGCCGGTGTTGATCATATCTGTATTCATGTCTGTGTCCACGCCCCCCTCCTGCCACCCCTCAGAGCCTTCCGGGTGCTCAAAAAGGGGAAGAAACGGACCTTTCATTAATATTTCCCATTTAATGTAAGAAGCCGGCTAAATTGAAAATATGAAAAGGGACCGTAATGAACCAGAGTGAGTCTGACACTACGAGTGTGGTTCTCAGATGTGAGAAGTACAGTCGGAAGCTTCAGAGTCTGGACAGCCGGAAGATTCTTCGCTGCGCGCTCAGCCGAGGGCGGAAGTTCCACGTGTTTATGTTGGGCAACCTCAATTGGGGGCGGGGACTCTGAGGCCACGCCCCCAAGGCAGGACCGTCCAACCGGCTTCGCAGGGGAGCCAAGCCCAGCCCTAAAGGTGCCGGCCGCCTGCTCTACAGGCCCCGCGGCGGCAAGCATGGCCTCTCCCGGGGCCCCCGAGCCCCGGCCGGAGTTACCGGAGCACAACTCCGGGTACCGAGAGGTCCAGTACTGGGACCAGCGCTACCGGGACGCGGCCGACTCTGCCCCCTACGAGTGGTTCGGAGACTTCTCCTCTTTCCGGGCCCTCCTAGAGCCGGAGCTGCGGCCCGAGGACCGTATCCTGGTGTTAGGTGGGTAGTCCCGGCGCTGCCCAGCCCAGCCCGGCCCAGGCGGAGCTGACTGGACCGGCTCCGCCTCGGCGCCTCCGTCCGCTGGCCTAGCGTCTGTCCGCCCCTGACTGAGGATGCCCAGGTCAGGGGCCAAGATCCAGTATCTTCAGAATCTGGAGTCAGGGCAAACGGAAGCCCACAGTCAGGTCCCTGTCCCCCCTCTCCAACTCGGCAATCTCTCTGAGCTTGGGCGCGGTAGGTGGCCCGGGGCCCTGTTCCGCGCCCTCGGGAGGCAGCCGCCAGCACTGGAGAGCTCGGAGGATCTAGTAAGTCCCTATGCTGGTTGGCTCTAGGACTTAGGAAGGGTCGTAAACCCGTCCTAAGCTTCGGAGTCGCTTCTAGAAATGGAACTGCGAGCTCCCGTCGGATAAGGCACGTGCAGGCATCCCGAGCACAGTGCATACCGCCTTTCTGTCTGCGCCAATGGGCACCGCGAGCTGTTGTCACCTGGAGGGAGTTGCCACTTTCCAAACTCGAAAACTCGGTGTTATGCCCCGCTGGCAGTGATGAGGACAGCGCCCTCTGAGGTCAGAGGGGATATTGCCACCGAGGTTGGTGAGATTCGAGGAAAAAGTACTACCGGTAGGTTGCAAGATAGGGCTTTGTCCCAGTGCCAGCCTTGGGGAGGGGCGTGTTAGAGAAGTTTGATTGAGCAACGGGATTCCTTCCAATTATTCCTTCCAGTTTTTATTTTGGTATTTGTAAAAGCATTTATATGTTTAAGTGAAATATTTCATGTGCTCGCTTCGGCAGCACTATACTAAAATGGACAATACAGAGATTAGCATGGCCCCTGTGCAAGGATGACTCGAAAATTCGTGAAGCGTTCCATATTAAAAAAAAAGAAAAGAAGTATTTCATATACATGTCATCTGGAATACAGTATATGAAAGTTATAAATGATAAATCTAATATGTATGTGCATACCATACTCAGTTTAAAAAACAATATTCCTAGAACTAAAAGCAAATATAACCTAGTGCTTAAGAACCTGGACCCTGGAGGCAGCTAATTCTGTTGGAATCTGTGCTCATGTAATCTTAGCTGTGGAATAATGGGCAAAATCATGGAATCTTAACCATGTAGTCCTGGAAAAAATACTTAAATTTCTGTGCCTCCATTTCACAGCCTTAAAAATAAAAAGAGATTACTTATTTAGTGGGTTTTTAAGATGATTGAATGAGTATGAAAGATACCCATAACAATGCCTGACAAAATAAAAGGCCCATGTATATTCAAGGTTTTCTGTGTAGTCCTTCCAAACCCCTTAACCTCCCAGAAGTAAAAACTCGAATTTTATACTTTTAAGCCATTACATTTATGTATAGATTTACCATAGATCTGATTTTTTTTTTAAGCTTTAGTGTGCATCTAAATCATCTGGAAAGCTGGACCCCCTCCAGGGTCAGTCTAAGGTGGGTCCTAGGAGTCTGTAGTTTCAGCAAGCCCACAGCGGATTCTCATGCTGAGAATAACACTGCCTTACGATCTCCTATACTGGAAGGGGAGAAAAATATTCTTTTCTGGAGAGGGGAGAAAAGTCTAAAAATAAAAAAGGAAAACTTTCCAGGCATTATTCCCAAGATGTAAAGAGAGGACCCAGTCAGACCTGCGTGGCTCAGTGGTTGAGCATCAACCTATGAACGAGGAAGTCACAGTTTCATTCTTGGTCAGGGCACGTGCCAAGGTTTTGGGCTCAACCCCCAGGGGGCATGCAGAAGCCAGCTGATCACTGATGATTCTCATCATTGATCTCTCTCTCTCTCTCTCTCTCTCTCCCTCTCTGAAAACAATAAAAATATACTTGAAGAATAAATAAATAAAAAGAGGACCCACAACTTGGGGAGTACCTATGTTAAATTCTACTTTAACAAACAAGCTGAGCACCTGGTAGGTGCTAGGGAATGTGCTGGGTGGGCCCTTTCTAACCTAATATTTATGACAACCCTGAGAAGTGAGTAATAAGTATTACTAGACTTACTGTAAATCAGGGGTCAGTACTGTTTCTGAAAATGGCCAAATAGTAAATATTTGGGCTTTGTGGGCTATACAGTTTCTCTGACATCTAGTCAGCACTGATGTTTAGTAGAAAAGCAGCCACAGACAGTACATAAGTGAATGAGAATAGCTGTATTCCAAGAAAATTTTATTTACCAAAACAGGTGGCAAACTGAGTTTGGTATTCCCTGCTGCAGATCATTGTCTCAGGTTGGGTCCAGAAAGAAATCCTAAGATTACGATTCATCTCCTAGTTCTTTGTTAGGGATGTGCTCCCGAAGCAATCAGCCAGAGAGTGAGTGAATAGGGAAGGAAAGAGACCAAGCAGGGCCGAAACTGGTTTGGCTTGGGGACTGAAGGGTCCTGGGTTCGATTCCGGTCAAGGGCATGTACCTTGGTTGCGGGCATATCCCCAGTAGGGGGTGTGCAAGAGGCAGCTGATCGATGACTCTCTCTCATCGATGTTTTTAACTATATCTCCCTTCCTCTGTGTAAAAAATCAATAAAATATATTTTAAAAAAAAAGAGAGAGAGAGAGAGACCAAGCAGGATTGTGATCACAGGTAAAAGTTTCCCTGAGGGCAGTTTCAGCCTGAAGAGTCACAGATGCAAACTGTCAGAATCAAGCATACACCAAAACCTAGAGGTACTTCAGGCGGATCTGATCAGAGCACTGACAATGTCCACAGTTGTCACGTAGCAAGTAGATGGTGAAGTAAGGGTGCCATCTGACTCCAGAGCTTCTGCTGCTGCACCATGCATATGGGCATAGAGAGACATCTAGAACTCAGTTACAACTGATAAAATGACTAAAGATGGAATGTCACAACTGAAGGTGAGTGGACCTTCTGAAAACGGGGAACAGTTTTGCCTAGTGGCTTAAGAGCTCTGATTCTGGCGTGAAACAGGCCTAGATCCAAATTCTACCCTGTTTCCCCGAAAATAAGACAGTGTCTTATATTAATTTTTTCTCCCAGAGTTGCACTAGGTCTTATTTTCAGGGGATGTCTTATCTTTCCATGCGCTAGGTCTTATTTTCGGGGAAACACGGTAACTACCACTGGACGATGTGACCGTGGGAAGTTTCTTACATACTTTGGGCAGCCTCAGTTTTCCCATCTAGAAAATGGTAATGATAATAACAGTTATCTTCTCTGTGAAGGTAGTATGAAGATAAACTGAGATAATGCTTAGAAATGCTTAGCATAGGGCCCAGTGTTCAATGACTACTAGCCATCATCATCATTATTAAAAGTGGGGGTTAGAGGAACAGTTTACCACAAACACTGAGGACTTGTGTATCTGGTCCCTATGGCTAGAATATCCTCGTACAGATGAATGCATATGGCTGTCCTAGCTTTGCCATCGTTATACATCTCTGATTCTACATGTTCCGTAGGAACATATCATAATTTCGCTTCAATTTGTATTTTCTATATATAGAGAAGGGACTGACCAGGGGATTGACTGTCAAGTCCCCATGGTGGCTATTTTTCTTGTTATAAATTAGTGAATTGGCATTCTGGCTTACCCCTCATTCTTCTGGTGCTGGGATAGCGTCCACATAGCTCTGGACTCCTATGTATGGGTTCGTGGAGCTGCCTCAGTTTTCCAGGGACCTTCCCAAACCCCATCTTAGTTGCCAGCTCCAAATCACTGGGGCAGCAGGATCAGAAATCACTGCTTTGTAAGCATGACTGGTCCTGTGGTCAGATTTTGTTCTTTCTTAATCTTTAGTGAAGTTCTCTTGGGATATACCATTCCTTTACGGAGGGGAATAAAGTAAGGATATTTGCCAGCTCCTGTGGCTCTGGTTGAGTGTCAACCAAGGAACCCAGAGGTTACTGGTTCAATTCCCAATCAGGGCTCATGCCAGGGTTGTGGGCTCAGTCCCCAGTAGGGTGCATGCAGGAGGCAGCAGATCAGTGTTTCTCACATTGATGCTTCTCTCTCTCCCTTTCCCTTCCTCTCTCTGTAAAATACAAAAAACAAAAACATTTAAAAGAAAAAGGGAGAGGGATATTTGGGTTTGTCTGTAGTTGGGCAGAGCTCTGTAGGCATGAGGTCAAGTGTAGGGTGGTAAAGGGTTTGTGGGTCAGAGAACCCAGTGGGGTAACAGCCTGAACTGAGTTAGGGTCTTTTGTTCAGTCACTCTCACCTCCCATCCCATATTGTGTATCTACTAGAGCTTGCTGTAAGGAAGCACACATTTTTTTTTCCAGGTGAGATAGTAGTCTGCTTGAGCCTGGGGCCTGAGAAAGAACACAGGAAAGGTCAGCTGAGGACCAGTTAGCATCCTCTGGTTGTCTGATCTGGTACCAAGCCCTGCTAGATTAGGGCTATCCCCACAGCTGATCCTGTGATCCTCTTAGAGACAAATGGGGATTAAAGGTAATCTAATCCCAAGAGCTGGGCATCCCCATGTGGGGCCAACAAGAGCTGTCATCCAGCCCTGGTCTCAAGCTGAGACTGACCACAAGAGGGCCTAGAAGAAGCCAACAGATCTTTGAAGAAAATCCATGGGTCCACATCCATGCTTCTAACCTCCACCTGTTCTTTTACGGACCTAGTCCTCTTTGGGACTGCTTTTCAGGCACTTCCCACCAGTATTACGATTCTTCAAGACTGATTGGTTGTCAGCTTCCCTGCAACCCTTGCCCAACTTCCTGATGTAAGGACAGGGATCATCTTTTTTTTTTTTTTTTTTAATAATATATTTTATTGATTTTTTACAGAGAAGAAGAGAGGGGGATAGTTAGAAACATCGATGAGGGAGAATCATCGATCAGCTGCCCCCTGCACACCCCCTACTGGGGATGTGCCTGCAACCAATGTACATGCCCTTGACTGGAATGGAACCCGGGACCTTTCAGTCCGCAGGCCGACGCTCTATCTACTGAGCCAAACGAGTTTCAGCAACAGGGATCATCTTATGTGCTCCCACAGCCTGTCCCTATTGAAACACTCATCACATTACGTGGCAATTGCCTGATTACACATCTGTTCCTCCCACCAAAGCATGAGCTCCTTAAGGTCAGGGACTCTTACTCAGCAGAATACAATATGTAAGGAATTATAAGGGATCAGCTCCACTGTGTCCCCACCTGGTTTCCCCTTCACTTGTTAATAAAATAGGAAAATGATCCCTAACTTGAAGTTTTCCCAGAGGTTCTCTGGGAGGTCCAGTATTAGGGTAATATTAATATTCTAATGATAATACTATGAACCTAATGATGCCAATATTGTCTTATTCTGAGTCTGAGAAAATAGGCTCAGAATTGAGTGAATTGCCAAGGCAGTGTGACAAGGAGTATCAGAACCCAGATCTTTGAACTCCTACGTTCAGAGCTTCTTCATCTGTTTTAGTTCTTAAAATTCAGTGCAGCTTCTCCTGCAGGCAGGGTAGGTCTTGTTATCTTCCTTTTTCTAAATAGGAAACCCAAGTTCCTAATTCACACATCTAGGAATGATAGAGCCAGGATATGTGCCCACGTCTGCCTGACTCCGAGCCTCATGCTCTTTTCTGTACGGTGCTGCTGCTTTCTCAGCACAGGAGGGTTTGGGCTGTTGGAAAATGGGCCAAGAGTGGATGGATAATTGGGGAGGAGAATCAAAGCTAACTTATCTTACTCAGCAGGTGTGGCTTACTCAGCAGGTTGAGTGTCAACCTATGAACCAGGAGGTCATGGTTCTGTCCCTGGTTGGGGCACATGCCCGGGTTGTAGGCTCGATGCTCTGTGTAGGACATGCAAGAGGCAGCCAATCAATGATTCTCATTGATGTTTCTCTCTCTCCCTCTCCTTTCCTCTCTGAAATCAAGAATAATATATGTGGAAAAAAATAAAAGATAACCTAGCTTTTTTGCTACCCACCTTTTCCCACTCAGGATGTGGAAACAGTGCCCTGAGCTACCAGCTATACCTTGGGGGCTTCCCTGATGTGACCAGTGTGGATTACTCATCAGTAGTGGTGGACGCCATGCGGGCTCGCTATGCTCATGTGCCCACGCTGCGCTGGGAGACCATGGACGTACGAGCACTGGGCTTTCCCAGTGGTTCCTTCGATGTGGTGCTCGAGAAGGGCACACTGGATGCCCTGTTGGCTGGAGAACGGGATCCCTGGACCGTGTCCTCTGAAGGTGTCCACACCGTGGACCAGGTGCTGAGTGAGGTGAGGGAGCAACAAGAGAGGAGGGCAGACCAAGAGGTGGAGCTGAGGGGTTGAAGTTTCAGGAGATTGGATGGACTTAGAAGCCAGAGGAGGCATTTTATGTCTGTGGTTACCTGAATGAAGGGGAGAGCTACGCTGGTCAAATTATAGGAGGCTGGAGTGGCCAGGTTCACAGAGCTGATGGTTGGCTACTGGGATGCCGTAGGGATGGCATAGTAGCCAGGTTCCAGATAGGTAATAGATCGGGAGGGTGGGCAATTGGCAGGAAAGCAGTGTCCCCTGGCTTGACATCACGCCCATGCTCCTACCTGTCTAGAATATAGCCCTACCCCATGGAATGACCAGGGACACAGAAGGAGGCTCAATTTGCCATGGAGAGCTGGATGCAGCGTAGTATCTGGGAGGTCAACTGGGACGATACTGACCTTTGAGAACCTGAAGATGGACTCCTCACCAATGGCTTCTCTGTTTGCCTTGCAGGTGAGCAGAGTGCTGGTCCCTGGAGGCCGGTTCATCTCGCTGACCTCTGCAGCCCCCCATTTTCGGACTAGACACTATGCCCAATCCCGTTATGGCTGGTCCCTAAGGCATGCAACCTATGGCAATGGTTTCCACTTCCATCTCTACGTCATGCACAAGGGCAAAGAGCTTAGCGTGGCCCAGCTGGCTCTTGGGACCCAGATCTTCTCATCCCCCAAACCTCCCACCTCACCCTGCTTTCTCCAGGACTCAGATCACGAGGACTTCCTTAGTGCCATTGAGCTGTGAGGCCAGAAGTATGGTCCTTGGGTCCCCCTTACCTTTCTGCCCTGGACTCCTCAAGTTGTAATTCCTGACTCAGGGCTTAGGGTTGGGTCCAAGGTGCGCACATCCCAGGGGCCTGAGGCCTAAGATAGAGCTGATGAAAGCAACCCCACATGAAACAATATAGCCCAGGCTAAGTTACATCTCAAATCACAGGTTTCTGGCTTCCTTCTTGGGTTTCTCAGATCTCTCCTGGGCTCCCCAACTTCCTCTCCCACCATGTTGAATCCACCACAGCCCCTCTGCTTGCCAGCCAGACTCAGAGACCTGCATCCCTGGGGCCTGTTGTTGCCTCCCCACCCCCTTCAACCTGGACTTACCCATAGGAGGCTGCAGACTTTGCATCTAGATTGCTTTACAATTCTGACCCTAACTCCAGCCCCATCTCTGATGACCTGTGCTGTTCTGGTTGTATATTTACCCAAGAATACTACATTGTAATGAAGTTCTCAGGCCAGGCTGCCTGCTGTGTTTACTTGGCAACTCTTCCTTGCCAGCAACATGCACCAGAGATTCTCAAATACCCATTCCCCTTCCCAAAAGGGACTAGAGCCATTTTTGCCTGACCCCTGAGCAAACGGAAGCAAAAGCCACACACACACGGAGGTCTGTGTTTATTCACACACTCCTGGTACAGTGAGGATGGAGGAACATTTACAAAGGACACCCCTGGGTTGAGAACATCTCTAGGGCCACAGGTGTCATCCAAGGGTGCAGATCAATCCCCATTTGGGTTCCCAGGGGCAGGGGGGCAGGGTTCCAAGGTAAAATCAGACCTGGGCCCTTGGAAGGTGATACCTGGAGGGGAGGGGTCTGCCAGAGAGCCGCCTGGGGTCAGGCCTGGACAGACTGGCCACGCGTTGGTTACCATGTTGGGGCTTGTCCATTCCCACCCTCAGCACTCGTCCTATCTGCCAGGCGCAGAAGAGTAAGGACGAGACGGAGGGGGGAGGGCACTAATGAGGGGAGCCAGTAAACAAAGAGTCGGATATAAAAATACAAATGTGCTGAGGAAGTCCCTTAGAAAGAGGCCGAGGCTGGGGTCACGCCTGACAGGGGTGAGGGTGAGGAGCGGCCTGGAGGGCTGGGCTCAGGTGGGTGGGAAGCTCATGCAAATGCGCAGCCAAACATCCCTGGCCGCGCGCCGTCCGACGCGGCTGGCAGCCAGGTCTGCAGACCGAGCCGGCCGGAGAGGGGCGGGGCTGGGGAGCCGTGCGGGAGGGGGCGGGCCGGGGGCTGCGGGCCGCGGGGCTCTGTACGTTCTGGTTGGTGTGCGGGATGGGGCTGCGGCCCGCGGTTCTAAAGTGCATGAGCGCGGCGGTGGGCTCCGGGCGGGTCTGCGCCGCCGCTGTGGCCGCCGCCGCCGCGGTGGTGCTGAAGCGGACAGCTCCGAGGTGCCCGGCGGCGGCGGCGGCGGCGACTCCGGCCCGGAGGCGGCGCGGCCCCGCAGCCCCCGCCCGCGGGCGCCTGGGCCCGGGCGGGGGTCGCCGGCAGCTGCATCGCCTGCCCGCGCTCCCGGCCGCTGCTGCGAGGCTGGGCCCGGAGCCCGCCGCCCGAGCCGGCGCGTCTACACTCCGGACGGCGGCTTCTCCCCCATCCCCTTCAGCACGTCGTCTATCCGGTCATCCTCGATCACCACTGCACAGGGAGGGGGAGAGCGCGTCAGCCGCGCGGCCCGGGGGGCGGCGGCCGGAGCGGACCCGCGTCCTCGGGCCCCGCGCAGAAGCTGCCCGGAGCCCAGCAGCGCCCCTCGATCCCCATGCCACAGTGCCCCCCACCCCCCAACTCTCCTGCTGCAGACTCACCCCACCACCTACCCAGCTCCCACAGACCCCTCCTCTCCCCGCGGAGGAACGCCCCCCTCGTTATAAGGCTCCGGCCCTCCAACCTCCAGGGCAAACCCTCCCGCCACCTGAGCTCCCTGCCATCCGAGCTGGTCTGAGAGACCTTTTTGCTCGTGGGATCCCCTTCGCCAACCCTCCCTGCAACGGAACCCCCTCCTCAAACGGAATCTCCAGCTAGTCTAAGCCTCTCCCCAACCTAACTCTCCTGCCATTTGAACCCCTCTTCCGTTCCTGGCACCAAAACAAAGCCCCCTCCCCATGCAAAGCACCAGGATGTCCGATTTCCTGTCTTCTCCCCCCCCCCCCCGCCCCCCATGCTCTGCAATCGGACATCCCTCCACACCCGAAGGTTCTTTCGTAGCATCCACGGACTCAGCGTTTGATGCAGAAGAAGCGGCCCGTCTCCCCATGTTCCCCACTTGCAGGTAACCCCAAATGCCCCCGGCCGGTCCCTCCCCCTCGCCCGGGTACCAAGGCTCTCCTTCCAGAGGTGTTGAGCTTCGAATCCAGGGCATTGCATTCCCGAGAGAGGGAAAGAGAGGGGGACAGCACTGCAACGGGGACCCCCCACCCCACCCCAATCGCAGCCTGCGAGCGGCGGGCTGCGCTGGTCTGCGGCAGGAGCTGCGGGAGCCCGGCGGGGAGCGGCCTGCGGGAGGCGCCCGCCCGGCGGGGGGTTTCTGGGTCAGGCCGGCCGCCTACCTCTCTTGGCTCGGCCGATCTGGCCCAGCTTGGGGGGTCGCTTGGCTTGATTGCCCGCGAAGAAGGAGTTGGTGTCCTGGAGGCGGCAGCTGAAGGAGAGGTCGGAGCCCTCGGGGTCGGCGCCGAAGCGGCCCATCTTGTCCTCGCTGTAGGGCAGGATCTCGGACATGGCGGGCGCGGGGCGGGCGCGGGACTGCGGCGGGGCGCGGACGGCGGGCTGGCTGCCGGGCCGGCCCTAGCTCAGCGGGGGAGCCGGCGGAAGGATGAAGTCATGCAGCATCCGGGGCTGCGGAGGGAGCCAGCGGGGCCTCCTCCCCCGCGCCTCCGCCTCCGGGCCGCTGGGCAGGCGGCGGCGGCGGCGGCGGCGGGGACCGGCGGGGGCGGCGCGGGGGCGGGGATGGCGGCGGCGGCGGCGGCGGCGGCGGGAGCGGAATGACGATGAGCGCCCGATGCCGCAGAGCGCGGCGGGCTGGGCGGGGGGAGGCGGGGCGGGCAGCGGCGGCGGGGAGGGCGGGGCGGGGGCCGGGAGAGAGCGCCGGTCTCTCCCGGGAGGGGAGGGCGGGGACGGAGGGCGGTGGGAGGGTCTTGCCGGAGGCGGGAGCGGCGGCTGGTGAATGACTCCGGCGCGGGCACAGCACCTGCCCGGGAGAGGCGGGGGGAGGAGTGGCGGGAGCGCTCTGGCACCGCGGGGCGGGAGGCCGGGCCAGGAGACTCTGAGCGCCGAGCCAACGGGCCTGGGATGGGAGGGCGGGCCGGGCCGGAAGGCGGGAGCGGGGCTGCCCTCAGCGTGGGGCAGACACCGGGACGCGGCGCGGGGCGAGGTGTGCGGACCCGGCGCCTCCGCAGGACGAGGCAGCGGCTCGAAGCCGCGGGTGGTACCCTCGCCGCCGGCGGTCTTATCCTGGGTTGCTCTTCGGGTTTTATTTTTTTTTTAAATATATTTTATTGATTTTTCACAGAGAGGAAGGGAGAAGGATAGAGAGCTAGAAACATCGATGAGAGAGATATATCGACCAGCTGCCTCCTGCACACCCCACACTGGGGATGTGCCCGCAACCAAGGTACATGTCCTTGACCGGAAACGAACCTGGGACCCTTGAGTCCGCAGGCCAACGCTCTATCCACTGAGCCAAACCCGTCTCAGCAGCTCTTCGGGTTTTAAACCGTTCACCCGCAGCCTGTGTTCCTCTGACTGCCCTTCTGTGTCTGCCTCTGCCTCTCTCTGTGTCAGTCCATAACCTGTGCCTGCCCGTATCTGCCCCCGTGACCCATCCCTCTGGGCGTTGCGGTCTGCGTCGGTCTTACATGTCTTTGCTCTCCTGCACCCGCCTCCATGCTCGGCCCCTGCACCTATGGACCACTGGGTCTCCATCTCCCCAGTCTCTGTGCATCTCGATCTCACCTTGGGGGAGGCCTCGGGAACGGGACTGACAAGTGAGCACCAGGGCGGATGCGCGTCCCCAGCCCTAACGCTGGCGCTTGATCTCGGGTTCGAAGCGCCCGGCGCGCCCCGCGGTCCTCCCAGCCCCCGTGCCTGGTGCCCGGGTGCGCGCGCTGTGAGAAGAATGAATGGTGGCGTCGCCAAGGGCACCCTGGCTCCAGGTGACGCAGGGAAGCCCGGAGCGCCTGAGGACGCCGAGCTTCTGCGTG